TCATGCAATATTTTATAGATTCTGAAGAAGCAAAACTATCTGAAACAAACAATGTATTAATATTTCATGTCCAGTACTTACTATCAATGATATGATTTATGTAGTAAGGTACCAACCATTATTGAATCTACTGAAAGTTCAAGTCTGCATTATGTACAATCTTCCATAATTTCCGAAGAAGCCAAAATATCTCTGCTCTGATGATATCATCATTTTGTGCGAGATTTTGTGTTATCAATAACCTCCTGAAACAAATAATGTACCTATTAATATTTCATGTTCCAGTACCTACTATATCAATGATTTGATTTAGGTAGGTACCTACCTACCTTTATTGAATATACTGAAAGTGCAAACATGCATACAATCTCACATAGATTGCGAAGAAGCCAAAATATCTTGGAATGAAACATCTTTGCTCTGATGACATCATCAATCTTGTGTTCTCAATAACTTCATCTGAAACGAATAATTAACCTATTAACATTTCATGTCCAGTACCTACTATATCAATGATTTGATTCAGGTACCTACCTTCATTGAAATCATACTGAATGTTCAAGCTTCCATACAATATTTGATAGATTCTGAAGAAGCAAAGATATCTTGGAATAAAACATGTTTGCTATGATGATATCATCAAGTTTGTGTTCTCAATAACCTCCTGAAACAATAAATAATGTATATGAATGTATCAATATTTCATGTCCGGTACTATCAATGATTCTATTTAGTATTTACTCACCTTTATTTCTTGCTACCTGAGAGAAATGTCATCAACAGAGATTATCATCCTTTTGTTATTGTTATCTTTCAATTCTGTGCAATTAGTTCTTCTCGCAATCATCTTGTGAAATAGAAATTTGATGAATGCATGATGGAGGTATTCAATGAATACTTTAATAATTCTGATATAATCATTAATATTATGATGTATCTTGAACAAATCATGACTATCATGAGACATAACCTCAATTCTAGTTCTTCTTTTTCTTCCTTGTGTCTTCGATGACACGTTATTTCATGGAATGTCATCTGAAGACGTCCGTAGGCACGAAATTCTTTACATCCTCAGGCTGTCACTGAAAGAACTCATTTAGGACAATTACAGCGCTAAATTTACGCCTGATGATGTTTTTAGATTGTAGAAAATAGAACGTCCTCTCCAGGCGTTTGGCGACAAATTGAGGATGACCTTAGGCGGGTGTGTGCTATCTGGGAGTGCCCACACTCCCCCATAGTACTATGAGGCAGTAGTTCAGATTGCGCACCTTTATAAAGTTTCAGCATACCAACGCTTTTTATTGGTGGATTATGATGATTTCATCCATTTTGCATTCATTATATGTTATGCTACTGTGACCATTCAATATATGACATAACTTGGTGATACTAGGCTGTCCTCTGCTGCAATCTTGGAGCTTTGTCTGCTTTTTGGTCAAATCATAGACATATAAAAAGAGGGGAGACATAACATTTCATTCATAAAACACCATTTGTTTACAATCATACATACTGCCGAAGTTTCAAATGAGTTAGAAAGAGATGGCTTCAAAAAAATGCAAAAATGGCAACGCTGTAGGCTGCGCGTCAATTTCACACATTTCTTTACCAGTGCCGTAGGTTTCTTTGGGAGGGATGTTGAAATGTAAACAATACGATCAAACTAGCTTCATTTATTACTGGAATATTATATCGACATAATTCCATGAATAAGTACATCATATACACAATTTACAAAATATTTATTCATTCCTGAATAATATTGTTTTTGTATTGATACTTCTAGATCTATTTGTTTTGCTTGCATCTAGTTTTCTTATGGTTTCATAATAAATTCTTATGTTGAAATAAGATTTCAAAATGAATTTCGAAACACGAATCGAATGTTCTGATAGAACTTCATCATCATAAATATGGTCTCCAAATATTTCGAATACAGAAGTGGGTACATTATTTAAAGTTTTAGTAATTAATATATTTGATAAATTTTTATTTTTTTGATTGAAAATTCCTTGTGTGTTATTAAAAAATCTGAAAAATTTTTCCCCTTCTTTGCATAGATCCACCACAAATTTAGATGGTTTCAAAAGCCGCCCATAAGTTTTTCGTTTTTGTAACTGAGAAGTTGCATCTTCACTTTCCAAACAGTTCAAGCATTTCGAACAGTCTACAAATTTTTTCACACCTTTAACTACAAATCCGGGAATGTAAGATACAATATCTTCTACATAACATGTGAGTTTCCACGCATCAGACATCACATAATTTTCCTTTATATTTTCCTCAACTGTTTTTAAATAGTTTTTATATTCATCCCCGTTCTCAACTTTTTCTCCCATTTCTGTATTCAAAACCTTTGGTACGGATCCATTCGTTAAAATTGGAATTGATTCCAAATCTACGGCGTTTCCCGTTTTGGGCGCCCTAATTTCTGAGTGGACTAATAACCTTTTATAAGCAGCCTCGAACTGTCTAGCTGTGGGATTATTATTATATCCACCTTTACTCCTCACAGCTCCAAAAAATAATTCCAGGTGATCCTGGGATAACTTGTAGGTTAAAATATATTTCAATATTTTTTTTTCCTCAACATAATATTTGTACATACCTTGTAAACTTTCCATACAAACTAGAAAGCCCAAAAATCCCGTTTTCCTTTGGGATTGCAAAATTGGCCTCCCTTTTAGAGTGAGTCCAATAATATACGATTTAATTGTTTTGAAATATTCACGAATAATTTCTATATTGCTTTTTGATAAAGGTTTTTTGAATGAATACTTTGCAAATCTGTTACGAGAGTTAAAAATATCAAAGAGATTATTGAAATTTAATAAAAAATCAGAGGTAGCCTCAGAGTTCTGAAAATCGGGGCATTTTATATCATCTCTAAGGAAAGTTAGAGCATCGCTCACACTTTTACTAAGTGTTTGAGCTGCCAGACGAACTTTCATCTTCTCCCTCTCCCATTGAAGGTGTCTCATTCTTACTTTTGTAGCAGCATGCAGCCCTTCTGAGTTTTGTTTTTCTACTAATCGGGTTATGTAACTCCATTTTATATTCAATTTGTTTTCATCAATAATCTCTTCTTGGCTAGCTAAACAGTTCCTAACAAGCTTAATCATGTGACATGGATCAAAATAAATGAAAACAGGTTCTTTTGTTATAGGATGTTCAAATTTTGTTTGTAAATGGAGGGGGTTGGAGAAATTTGCCCCAAGCTTCTCACACATTGAAATATTTGCTGGTGCTCCATCAAAAGTCAAAGATGTTATGATTACTCCACTTTCGTGCAAAAATTCCAAGCATTTCTTCACCAACTCTGCTTTCTCTGTTGCTGACAACCCATCGATCAAAAAGTATCCCACTGGAATTTTCCAGGAGGAATTTATGCCAACTACCATAAAAACCAACGCTTCTCTAGCTTCTGGTAAACTGTCGCTATCTATTGTAGTTCCCAAGTCCACATACCCTGTAAATTTGGAGCCAGTCCATTCTACTTGCTTCCTTATGGACATTTCATCCATCACCAAATTGCAAAGGAGTGGACGAGAAGAACTTTTTTGCTTTGAAATTAAGGCATTTAGTGCCTCTTGAGTAAATCCGGGGCTGCCATCAACAGATCGATACCACCTTGAAATCATTCCTAAATGTGGCAAACTCCTATTGAAAGTATTCCTTACAAAATTGTAGGCTTTTGGCGAGTAAAACGATAAGGTCAAGGCAAAGGAACGCAATGAAGGGTTATATTTTTGCCTGATGGGTCCTTTCAACATCCTTTCAAAAATGTCCTGAGCTGGTCCAGCAAGTGAAGCCTTGAAAAATTATAGGTACTATTAACATCTACAGGATGTTTCATGAAGTTCTCCCATCACTGATGTTCTATAGGTTATTTCCTCGGTTATTTCTAGTCAAAAAGTCTTTAAGAAAGTTCATGTGAATATGTGCCCGATTCACATAATTATTATTTTTCTTTTATTCACAGATGTGCGGATAAATGTATTGGAGTAGGCTATAGTGAAAATCTTTTGAATTAATAAATTTAGGTACTGTTATTACCGATGTTGTTGGAGTGAAATATCAATTAATTGCAATTGAATAATTATTTTCAAACTCTTTCAGCTCAAAAAGTAGAGGGAATCGGACAAATTTCAATATGAACTAAGATATATTTTGAATTTCATGCTTGATCAGTGCCAGCAGAACTACATAAAACACCTGGTATTATTACATACAGAAAACTACTCATGATATTCAATATTTTAAACAAGATTTTAATAATCAAAAACAATATTATATACCTTTATAGTTGATTCAGAAGATTCACTTATTAAGGATTTTTCTTTCAAATAGTCGATCAAGTTCTGCATTGATGTTATCCTTATTTTTAATCTTCTTACAGTCATTTGTAAGGTATGTACTTTTCGTCTTCGTCTTTCGTCGCAGCTCTTCACAAAAGCTAAATTTCTACTTCTCTTTTCTGGAGTTGAAAAATCGCTACTTGTGAGATCTCCAATGTATCGTTTTCTAAAATTGAAAAGAAATTTAGTATGCAAAAATCTACTAGAAGTAATAATTATAATATGCACCTTTTTCTAATCCTTTGATGATCTTGCCTTTTTGAATCTATAGCTCCTGAAAAAGCAGAAGAGGGCTGTGGTGATCCTGCCCTGCAAATAAAAAAATATCAATTGAAGCATAATATGATAATATTGTTAGTGTTTTTCCAATGATTTTTTACAACAGTTACCTCAAATTTAACATGTATAGATTTAAAAAATCAAACGTTCATTGTACATACCTCAAAGTGGAGTGATGGGATTCATATTAAAATGAAAAAAGCACGAAGTGGAGATGACTGCGTGCTTCTTTCATTTGATATAGAAAAAAACATGTAGATTATACAATAATTGAGACCAGAAATATTAACTCATAAAAAGAAATATTCAATTACAAAGAGGGTACGCCACCCTCTATCTATTATATCAAAAAACACATACCGCTGAATTACCATTTCCGTTTCTGAAGCAGTTTCTGTTGTTTCTGTAGACGAAAAGGATTTCTGTTCGAAATGTTTGGTTTCAGGCAAGATTCTGTAAAATTTCAAGTTAACTAATATTTTTATCTAATAATATAGGTATTTTCAAACTTACAAATTTGAGGAGCCCACATTGTTTTGCTCAGCTGTGACTTCGGTCAGATCTGAGGGCAGAACAGAACATTCTGAATTTTCAAATGGGCTTTCAAAATCAACATCTAGCGATCTGAAAGTTATACACAAATACGGATATTAGAACAAAATTATAAGAGCATAAATGAAGTTTGAAACTTAACAATCAACAGAAGGTAATTAAATTATACACATTGTTTACTTACCTAAGAAGTTTTTTAGGAGAGTTGCTGATGGTGGAGTCCGAACTAAAAAAAATACAAAAAATAATGAATGAAGAGTGACGAAAAAAGTATTCAATATTATACGAGAAACTTCTTTATTACCTACCGGTTTCTAAGAAAATTTCATTTCTGATAAGAAGTCGACGCTGGCTTTGAAACTTAAATAATTATCAAGTGGTAAACCGTGTTGGAATTATGGCTTACAAACTGGAGTTTTTTTGATTTCTTTGGAATACCCTTGAATATCTTGGATTTTTCGGTATAATTCGGGTGTATAAACAACTGGAATTCTTTGGAATTCCTTGGAATTTTCTGTGGAATCGAAGTTTGGTGTAGGTACCCAATTTTGACAGTCGTTTACCCCTTGATTAGTATTTTGGGTTTCGTGTAAATAAGGCTTTGAGTGCGGTATCAAATGTCATTTTCTGAAATCGCGTCAGGAGTGTACCTACCTTAAAAACATACCTATTCCTCTCCCTATCCTGCCTAGGTATGCACGATGTTCTCCGAAGATTATAGGGATTCCCTTTCGTGCGCATCAAGCAATAAAAAAATTGAGAAGGTCTTCAAATTTCCAAATCACAAAAATTATCCAAACATGAAATATGAGTAAGTACCAACATCAACTTTTAATTTTGTAATTTTTCTTTCAATATTTCCTTTAACAGGACGCCATTTCAGAGATAAAAGCCAGTTTTCGTACCAGTGTGTTCAATTTTATTGTGTTCTCGAGATTAGTGTGTTATATTTTTTTTACCTGAAAGATGAAGCCCCAGTGAAGACTGTTGTGTTCAATTGGGGCTCAGCATCTGGTCTTATTTGTCTTCGACCAGATAATTCGGTAACCATAATATCGCTCTGATCAAAGTGATTTGGGCAAATCTGAGCATACTTTATGATGTGCTGATTCTCCAGATCTAAAAGAGAAATCCACCTCTGCCTGCGCTCAGGATTCACGGGAAAACTGAAACAATAACACATTATTGCATACATACTTGGGTACCTATTTTTAATTTTTATTAGGAACATTAATTCCACTGATATTCTATTGCATAATATGATATTCGATATACAATGTGTTTCTTGAGTACGTGTGAAAAATTCAATCTCCGCAAGTTATTCATTTCTGAAATACAGAGTGTCGAAGTTTGATTCTTTATTCTGTTTTTTTTTTGTCAATAAATTCAAGAATAAACGTGATATTCGAGTGGAATATGGTATCTCACCCAAATATCACGATCATTTTGACATTTATTCACAAAAAACCGAAGTAACAATCAAACTTTGACACTATGTAGCTCTGAAACGAATAATTTGCGGATATAATATGTTTATACGAACTCTTCTTCTTAATAATTTGACTTCAGCAACATGCTGCTCAATTTTTAAGACGTACTTAAGAAACACCGTGTATATTGTCAAGCGAGAGGCAAGGCAATTTAACAACAATGACAATGCTATTATATTATATTATATCTATTGGAAAATATTCGTGTAGTAGCTTAGGTATTTACCTGATTTTGATTCATCATTAAGTGAAATTCAATATGACTCAGTTGAATAACATACCCCACAACTACACCACTGCTGAAGTTACAAGAAACATGCATAACCTTACTTACCGTCGAAATACCAATTCAGGGTTTGAATGGTCAACTTTATTACAGACCACGCACTGACGAACCATAGTGGATTAATAATAATAATTGTCTTTGTCTTTGGATCGTTTTGTAACACTTAAAACGCCGAAAATCAATTTAAACACACAAAAGGTTATAAACACAACACAGCAACACTGTAAAGTAGGAATATGACATGATTGAATGACTTTGCGTAATTTCGTAGTAAAAAAGCCAATGCATCGTTGCCAAAGTTATTTCCATAATTCATTATAATTTTATATAATCATGAAATTAGGAAAACCCGAACAATTTCAAGAGCAGAATTAATAAATTTCAATCAAAGAACAATCATACGGAATGAATATAGGTACATAAAACGTATATTATATAATTAATGTATGGTAAAATCATCCCTCGTTTCTAAACACAGGCGGTAGATCTAGGGCAATCCGCAGAAGTTTGTCATCATCGACTTCTGCTGAAAAAGATGTTGGATCGGGACAAAATGTAAACAATTTCGTCTCCTCTTTTTATATGTCTATGGGTCAAATATATAGGTTTTAAATTTTAAATGGTTTCATTCATCTTTTCAGGTGTTTTAGCAATCCAGGAAAATAGTTGTAAATTTTATTTCAGAAGGCTCTATCATTTAGACTCCTGAAACTTCAGTCATATTCTCAATTTCTCTATTTAACATATACCTTTTAAGTAAATTGAGTGGCGCCCCCCATACTTGAATTTTCCATTAAACACGAACTCACTTATCTGCTCTCTGTTAAAAAGCTGCCATTAGTACAAATGTAACTTATTTTCTTATTTTCTTTGATAACTATTTGGGAGTTGAGAAAAGTAGGATAGTGACATATTTCGCGTGAGTGGTCGTTTAGCACAAGCCTCATCATAGCGGCGATTGTGAAAACGAAACGAATACACTCTTCTAGCGAGTGGTCTACACCATTTTTCTCACGACCAGAAATATACAGGGTGTCCCACTAAGGTCGGCGAGGTACGTTATTATGGAAACCATAAACCTCACAGCTTCGTATAAAAAATCAATCGACAAAATTGGGGATGAGACATTGATTGAAAATATCTTCAAGTTCTTTAAACGACTGGTAGAGGGCAAAGTTATTATGATACCATAAACCTTACAGCTTCGGATAAAAACATAATCGAAAAAAATTGGTGATTTTCAAGTTTCTAAAACGAAAAGTTCGAATTATCTCAGAAAATCGCTGTGTGCGGTTACTCCTTGATAACGAAAAAGAAAAGATCAATAATTCATCGTTGTTGAAGTCTATAGACTTGTTCTCGTATCTCTAATAATAATGGTGGGGAAAGCTTATGAACAAAATACCTTTCAAATTGCTGTATCTTCTATACACCCTATTCAAATTCAATCAACTTGGGCCCGTTCGAGAGATAATTTCACAGTAATTGAAAACAGAATTCATTCACGGTCGCTAGTTTATACCGCGCCTTATAAAGGGCGTCGTTTACCGACTATTCGATTATTTCGGATTTTCTCGAAAAATTCAGGAAGGATGATACTAGTTCGAATCATTTATCTTGAAACTATAAAAGTAGCTAGATTTCTGCGCGAACCGCGATTTGATATCTTCATTAGTCTTCTAGTTATTCGCAAACAACTTATTTCGAATTGAAAAATCATCTTAATGTTGAAAAAATTGACTATTCATTTACTTTCATCGTGATATCTGTGGAAAGAGTTGTACGTCAACAGTGATGGTTGCTAGGCAACCTTCATATTCAGATAGTTCGAAATTTGTGCATTTGAAATTAATTTAAAAATGTCCCATCCTACCGCAGAAGCTTATGATGACATGATGGCGATTTATTTTCTGTTTTCAATATGGCAGAACGTGTACCTATACGCAGCTGACTATCATGACAAATTGGGTAGACGACTGCGACTCACCACCCATAAGAAATAAAGAGAGTTTTTTTTTATTTTGACATGGAATTCGACATTTTTCGAATTTCGAAACTAACAGAAGTTTCGAATCGTCCCACCCCACGTAACCAGTTGCGTATAGTAGAATATCACATAACTGGTGATGACATGATCATGTCAACACCAGTTATGTAATAAAAATATAGATGGACGAAGAGAATAACCCTAACAACACAAGTACATCCTGGGAACTTCCCAGGGATGTCCCTAATTTTATACTAGGACATCCCAGGGATATCCTTTGTCGGGACAAAGTACATACAAGGGACGTCCCAGGGACATTCGCTGGCAAACGGCAGAACGACTTCCACTGTAGAGATGCTGAATAACTTACTTGCTGAATCTTGAATCTTGTTCTCTGCTGCTCACCGGCTTCAGGAATACAGGAATACTTCAGGTTTCTTGTTGATCATGAAATACCTTCGTTGAATTGCTTGAATTGCTCTTGTTCCGGCTGTCCAATGACTTGCGTTGTCTCTGGCCTCTGGCTATCTTGTATGATTCAAAATGGTATGCTAGGTTCCAACTGTAGGTATGCAGATGTTGCAAATACCTTCAGCTACAACTTCTTCTGCACCACTAGATCACAGGATAACTTTCTGCTTGCCAAAAATATGAACAAAGATCTTTCAGGAACTGATGGGCTGATTTTTCGACCACCCCACACCTGACACCAAATTTATCTTGGGGAATACCAAATTTAGTGTACTTCGGTACCCCAATGATATTTATGAGAAAAAGTCGAAGTGATTCAATGGTTTTTATAAACGACAAGTAAGATAGAAATATCAAGAAAATAGGACAATAGTTTGTGGAAATGCATACAATACCCAAGGCACATGAGGTGCCAGCATTTTGTAATATTTTTATTATAACACGAGGTAACTAGAGCAATGTTTCATGCGATGTGAATAAAATATGATATACAGTTTGATACAATAATATATAACATGAGTAATAAGTTTTCATAGTGATAGCACTTTACAAACAAAGGCATCCAAGGAATGTCCTTCTGGTACGTCCCTGGAATTCACCAAGTACGAAGAAAGGATATCCCTTGGACATCCCAAGGAGATTCCTGGGACATCCCTTCGACAATAGGAAAATAAATGTAGAACGAGAAGGAATTGAACCCGGGACCTTTAGCTTATCAGGTACGCACCTTAATCCATTGGCTAATATGCCTTCTGATGATATATGTACTGAACAGACTTATAAACAGGACTGAACTAAAGAAACCTGAATAAATACAACTCTGTTAGGATTCTGGTATGATTATTATCATTCTTGGGTGTTCAAGAATGAGGGACATTATGTATTCACGATTTCTATTTGCGAGAAATGGTCATTTCTCATGAAGTTCTGAGACTATATTCTTTATTTTCATTACAATTATTTTCCGGAAGGAGAACAAACATCTTCAAAAAAATTTAACTCGATATTTTGATGAAATTCAATGACTGATGTGGATGGATATCAGATATTCCAGGGACACGAATAGGATAACCTAGAGATGTACCAAGCGAGATGTCCACTGGACAACCACTGAGGGACATTCCCTGGATGCCCCAATTATGTCCTTGTACCGCAGGACAAAAAAGGTACGTACCTAGGACATCCCTGTGTCGCTAAGGAGTAGTGCATTTTGTAATGAAGTGTTTTTGAACCAGCTTCATTACTAGATCCATTTAGCACATGTACGTCCAATGAATGTCCAACGGATGTACAACGTGGTGGATGTCCATTGAACGTCCAGTCATGTACATTGGAACGTCCAGAAAACGTCCACACCTCACTGAATTTAACTTCCTATGAACGTACATTCAGGATATTCTATGAACGTACACTCAGGATATTCAATGGACGTACATTCAGGATGTTCATTGGACGTACATTCAGGATATCTGATGGACGTACATTCAGGATGTCTAATGGACGTACATACAGGATGTACAGTGGACGTACTTTCAGGATGGCTAATAGACGTACATTCAGGATGTCCAATGGATGTAAATTGAAAGCAGTCAGTGGATATTCATTAGAGACGTCCACTGGACATACGGATGTTTGATGGACATAATTTGAAAGCAGTCAATGGATATCTGGACAAAGAATCCATACTCATATAAAATATTATTTATTTCAAAAATATCTGTAAGGTACAACATATGCTTGGAATTTATTCCATGAATTTCGTCATCCTGCTCTTGTTCAGCCATCATAATTAGCATGATGTCGAGTTCAACAGTATTTGTAATAGATTTTCCAGCATTATTAAGCGGCTAAAGATTTTTCGACTCACGACATTCATGAAAGATTTGAGTGATATTAACATAATATATACTATCTGAAAAAGCATTGATTCAAAAAACTGACAAGATATAGTTTTCCTGATTTATTGAGGACAAAATTCGATAAAAATGAGACCAAAATGGTAGAGCTATAATCAACCCATATATGAAGAGAGGAATAATAAAATTGTATACTTGTAAAATTGTATACTCACCACAGTTCAGTTCAAATTCTATATGTACGTCCATATAGTGACTATCTGAACCCCAATGATTACTTCATTATGAATATATATGCCATACATGGAGTCCATATATGGAC